AAGAAATGCTGCTGATCATTCCAATGATCCCAAATAGACTCACATTAGGCCACATGAAAGCAACTGAACCCAAAAATATATTAACCAGTATATAACTGCACTCTCACACAACACGCCTGCAGCAACAGTTAGGACTCCTCCCTCCCTTTTAAAAGCGTTTTTGCTTCCGAGGACATTGTGGTTGTAAAACCACATGCTAGTAGTCTGGCCCCGGTGTGATCAACCAGTTTCTGCGGGAATGTGACGGCGGAACCAGGGCCAGATTAACACTTTGTTGTACCCTGGGCAACAATATTCAAGGGCTCCATCATCACGACCCAAGGATCACCATAATGTGGTCACATACAGAATATTTTACTGTAATATGCAGTAAATATACTCAATACTTGAATGCCTGACAACACGTAACCCGCCCAGAGTAACCTTTGACCCACCTCGTGTGGACTGACCAATGAGGAGAGGGTCTTAACTTGAGGCCCTCTCTTCATTGGTCAGTCTGCATGAGACTGACTCTCAACTGACGTTCAGTCGTAGGCAGCGAAGCGTCTCTGTGCAGTGCAAAAGCCCGGGTGGACAGTTTGTTTAATGTAGGGTGACCATATTTCCATTTCCAAACAAGAGGACAGGGGATCTGTGCCTATGACGTCACACTATGGCAACGCCACACAAACCATGTTGGGACCCATTTTTTGTAAGAACTAAATTAATATCAGATTCTGCCAATTAAAGGGCTCTAAAACAATTCATATGTAAATATTTTGCATATTTAATGCAAAATCTAATTTTTCTGCTTTAGTGCTGCAACAAGGTTTTATTAATAATAAATTATTATACCTTTTGTTTTACTACAGCATCGGTAAGCTTCCTGTGCACAGATTATTAAGGATGCTTGTTTCAGCTGTGAGATTAGACGATAGGATCAATGAAAAAATAAGTTGTCACAAACTCCATGGAAACTTTCAGAGAATCCACAAATAGTGGCTTTCAAATGGTTTTGTTACTTTTTGCAAGTTTATAAAATAAGCAGATGAGACAGCATGTCTGATAATTTAGTTTTTCATCTGATAATATTAGAGCATGTCAGTAATGTCTGAGGGGCTTTTATAAACACCATATAACTAACACTACTGGAGAGGGCATGAATTACACAGAGGCTTCTGGGGAGCCCAGTTATTGGGGGGGGGGGGGGGGGGGGGGTGGCATTTTGCCTTGGCCCCCAAAATGTCTTGAAACAGCCCTGGGTGTGTGACTGAGTTTTGAAGGTGATCTGAATTGTATCAGATGTATAAATATGACATGTGTATAACTTATTGTTTTTTACTGGTAAAAACGTGTCGTGGAGATAAATCTACCTACATTTTACTTTTCAACACTTTGTTTTGTTTTCTTGTTTTTATTGAACTATTTTCCTGTCCTGTCTGTCTCTCATCTTCCTGCATCTCCTCTTAGTTCTCCAGAAAATCTGTTGCCTGGATTCTTACCTTTTCACCTCATCAGTTACTTTTGAGCAGGTCAAAGGGATCTCCTGACCGAAAAGCGCAGAGCGCGTTTTCGATGCTGCGTGAGGTGACATCACCACAGCACAGGTGATGAGCTCCGCAGTAGCGCGCTTCAGGCACAAATAAGACAGAAAATAGAGAACATGTGCGGACATGAACGATCGTGTGCTAATTATAGTTTTTTGGTTGCGCCACTTTGAGAATGGACTGTGCGCTGGAAGCAGCTGCCTGGATCGCTGTGCAACAATGCGGAACCGGTTCGCAGCAGCGCAAGTCTGCCGGGTCTCCCTCGCGCTGATCTGCCTGTACCGGCTCTCCCTCACGCTGATCTGCGGCTCTCCCTCGCGCTGATCTGCGGCTCTCCCTCGCGCTGATCTGCGGCTCTCCCTCGCGCTGATCTGCCGGCTCTCCCTCGCGCTGATCTGCGGCTCTCCCTCGCGCTGATCTGCGGCTCTCCCTCGCGCTGATCTGCGGCTCTCCCTCGCGCTGATCTGACTTGCTCTGGTCTGCGCGCAACGGCGGGCGGGAAGGGGGGGCGCTTTTGGAAGAGTTGTGCGACACAACGAATCGATGACGCAATTCGTTGCCAACGCTTTTAGTAATCGATTTTCATCGAATTTATCGATTCGTTGTTGCAGCCCTAGTCAGCATAACAGTGGAAGTTTATCCTATGCTGTCTGATGATTTTACCAATTGGAAGCATATATATATATATATATATATATATATGCTTCATTTTACAAAATGAAATCTATCAGACAGGTAGGATTTAAACCAGCATAGCGCTGTTCCTTTCATCCCTACAACATGTTCAAGCCTTTCTAAAAGAACATTGTGATCAACTATATATATATATATATATATATATATATATATATATATATATATATATATATATATATATATATATATATATACATATATATATATATATATATATATATGTATATATATTATATATATATATATATATACATATATATATATATATATAATATATATATATGCTTCATTTTACAAAATGAAATCTATCAGACAGGTAGGATTTAAACCAGCATAGCGCTGTTCCTTTCATCCCTACAACATGTTCAAGCCTTTCTAAAAGAACATTGTGATCAACTATGTCAAAGGCAGCACTGAGATCTAACAAGACTAGAACAGACACAAAATTCTTATCTGAGGCCATGAAAATATCCTTTGTAACTTTCACTAATGCAGTTTCAGTGCTGTGATACTCTCTAAAACCAGACTGAAATTCCTCAAACAGATCATTAGTGTTTAAATGCTCACATACTTGGATGGCCACTATTTTCTCAAGGATTTGGATAAAAATGGAAGGTTAGATATAGGTCTATAATTCATTGGGTCATCTGGATCCAGAGAAGGTTTCTTAAGTAAAGATTTGATTACAGCAACCTTAAAATCCTGTGGTACATATCCATTTACTAAGGCTATATTGATTATATCTAGAATGGGGGCAGTAACCAAAGGAAATGCTTCTTTAAATAATTGGGTTGGGATTGGATCCAAAATGCAAGTTGAAGGTTTAGATGAAGCTAATATTTTTGATAAATCTGAAAGCTCAACTGGATCAAAACGGTTCAAGCACAGATTAAGTTCTACAGTCACCTCTGATGCTGCCTCACTTACTGAGGAAGACGAAATCGCATTAGTAAGGATGCTAATGATTTTGTTTCTAATACAATGAATTTTACTCGTGAAAAATCTTATAAAGTCGTTGCTGCTGAGGGCTAAGGGAATAGATGGTTCAGAGCTATGATTCTGTGTAAGTTTGGCAACTGCACAGAAAAGAAATTTAGGATTATTCTTATTCTCCTCAATTAACGCTGAGAAATAAGCTGTTCTAGCTTGTTGAAGCTTATTTTTATAAAGCACAAGACTATTTTTCCAAGATAATTAGGGTTCCTCCTGGTGTGTAGAGCGCCATGTTCTCACCAATTTTCTAGTGTTTTTAAAGTTTGTAAATCTGAATTAAACCAGGGAGCCAACTTCCTGTGCTTAATACCTTCTTTTTTAAAGGGGCAACATCATCTAATGCCACACGTAAAGAAGAAGTAACATTATGAACTAGATCATCAATTTGTGAAGGGCCAGTTTTTACCTTTTTATATACATATATATATTTTATCAGTGTTTTATTACTTACTCCTTTTAATTAAATAACATATTATCCTACATATTTATGTTAACTTGTAATAATTATTATTTTTAATCAGTCTTAATACTTTGTTGTACAATATTTTATAAATGTAATTATACATTTCTACTTGGTCATCTTTTATCAGTGTTTTATTTAGATTTTTATTTATCAGCTGTTTATGTTTAATTAGTTTCTTAACTGTTATCTTAGTCTCATTAGTAAACTAGTGTTTCCTCTGTGGTGGCCGGCTGCCTTGGGGGCAGCGGTGGACCGTGGTGGCCGGGGTGCTTCCCATGTTTACTCTTGCCAAGGCTATTGCTGCCAATCTTGGTGCTCCCGGTGCAGTTGGCTCCTTTGATGGTGTTTTCGTCTTCTTTGTATCTACTACATCTGCACTCAGCCAGCTGCCCTTTCTCTATTACGTGTGTGTGTGTGTGTGTGTGTGTGTGTGTGTGTGTGTGTGTGTGTGTGTGTGTGTGTGTGTGTGTGTGTGTGTGTGTGCGTGTGTGTGTATGCGTGCAGGATTTTGCATCTGCTTGGGACGGGATTGAGGGTGGGAGGAGGGAGAAACAAAGGGGATCTCTTATGTGAATCTGTGTGGGAGGGGTGGGAAACCGACTGCTGTCTGGTTGTTTCTAATATTGTAAAGCGCTTTGAGCTGCATTTGCATGAAAAGCACTTCATAAATAAATTTTGATTGATTGATTGAGAAATGAAAATATTGCCATCTGCTACGTTCCCCTGAGATGCTGAAGATAGTAAAGATGGAGCAGTTGATTTAAAAGATGCAACAGCATTGTCAGATAGAGTCTGTTGGTGAAGTCTAACTTGAACACAAAAATAATGCTTGCTTGCATTTATTTAGGTATCTACTGCCCGCTATCGCCAGGGTAAATACACACTGTCACTTAAAACTGGCTCAGATTATTTACTTTTTTACAAAGGTTTTTAAATTGTTTTCATTGTCCTTTTTATTTCTTTTTTTTTCCTATATTAAATGTCAGGCACTTTGGTCACCCTCTGGGTTTTGTAAAGCACTATATAAAAACATTAATTAATTAATTAATTAATTAATTAATTCATTCATTCATTTCTAAAACATCAATGTTGCAGAGAAAACAGAGACAGTGGTAAAGACACTTTGATGTTGGTTATTCAGGGGCAAGATGTCTGAATTCTGCATTTTGAACCATGAGCACCAGAGCTTTTTTCCCACAGAGAACAGATCTCAAGGCATTAATTTATACTAGAGACCACAGCAGATTTACAACAATAGCACGTGAATGAGAGCTTTAATATCCACGCTCGTTGAATGATCTTAGTTCACATGTTTTTTTAAGGTGGTGGTGAAAACTCGTACAGAGTTCCAAACAGAGAAGAAGAGGCTGAAAGTCCCCAAGGTGGAGGAGTTCACCATCAGCTTCACCGACGGAGTTTCTGAGAGACTTAAGGTAAGAATATAAGCCATTTGCTCTGCAAATGTAACAGCATGTTCTGTTACTCCCCATCTGTGTTTTCTCATCAGATTTCACTGCTGTTTAAAAAAAAAACATGTAAATCAGGGTGAGTGAAACAGCAGGTAGGTTTAAAATGTGGATGGAGCTACTGGAGTCCGTTTCTTTTAAATGAGTATTTTTACACATGTTGCTTTATTTAAACCAAAGTTTTTTTTTCTTTATTTAATACTGCATCAGTAATGCAAATACTAAGACTTCAGCGTTTTGGTAGTGTGTGTGTGTGTGTGTGTGCGTGTGTGTGTGTGTGTGTGTGTGTGTGTGTGTGTGTGTGTGTGTGTGTGTGTGTGTGTGTGTGTGTGTGTGTGTGTGTGTGTGTGTGTGTGTGTGTGTGTGTGTGTGTGTGTGTGTGTGTGTGTGTGTGTGAGTGAGTGTGTGGGTGTGCGCGTGTGTGTGTGTGTGTGTGTGTGTGTGTGTCTGTGTCTGTGTGTGTGAATAGAGCAGTTATCTCTCCACAAACATCGAAATCACTTGAGGGGTGTCTGTTGGGTCTTTCCGTCCTCAGGGGAGACAAGAGATCTGGTGTTGTCATAGCAACAAAGAAAACTTCCCTCCATGGCAACCCTGGAAGAGGGAGAGAGAGAGAATTGTTCAGAATATTTAGAGTCCTACATGTCTTACAGGTAAACAAATAACATTATTTCTGGTAATATTAAAGAACTCTTGATTCTCCATAAAGCCTCCAGGCCATTTGGGAAATGTATCCCATCTGGTCTATTACCATGACTGGCCTCAGGACTGGGGGCAGTATTCATTTTTCCTAGTATGAAATACCAGCTAAAGAACACCAAATGGGTTTAAAACAGAAACAATGCAAAACTCATATTACATAGCTCCTTTTCTATTTTTGTAGATTTTTCTTCCATTTTTCTTGTTTTATCCATGAAGATCCATCCAGAATCAAAAAACTCCCATTTGTTGTTTTTAACACTCACTTTCTATCCAAATTAGTTTTTTTAAACCCCTAAAAGAAAAAAATGTTAAAGAAATCCAAAACATTCAGATCATAAGTTTGTTGCCTGTCAGGCTTGGCCCAATTTCTGTGACAGATCTCTGGCATGCCACCCCGTATCAGTTTTAGTTTGGCAGAAATGCATTTCAGGCCTTGTGACTTGTTTTGGGTGCTTGCTTTGCTTTACAGACAGAGCTGATTCTGCAGCCTCATTTAAACACACACACATACAGTAAGCACTGCACGCTGTTTAGTGCAGAGCAAACACTTCTGGATGAAAAGCTTGCATGCACATCTCTTCTCTGTTCAAAGCCTTGCAGATTGTGTTGATGGATGAAGAGCTCAGAGTATAAAATACTCTCTAATCTGTCCCTGCTTACCACGCACCATCCAAGTCGTTCCTTCGTCTCCTTGCCTATCTCAGCCTACAGGACTGTTTTTTATATTTCATATATGTGTGTGGTTTGATTTCAACAGCTTCTTTTCAGGAATTGTTGAAATTCAGTTTTTCTTAAAAATGACATGTCAGATTTCAGACATTTACTTGCAGGTTCCACACATCACGGTCCCGTCTGGATCTGACAGAGTTCTGATGAAAACAGAGCTCTTTTCCAAGGGAAGCATAAAAACAGGAGTGGGTTAGAAAAGGCCGACCGGCGAGTTAAAACAGAACAAGAAACATCAAAAAAGGAGAAATATTGTAATTTAGAGCAGTTTTTCTCTTACAGTTTTCCCAGAACACCCTCAAGGGATGCTAGGTGGTGTCGGGCCGGGGTGGGGTGGGGGGTGGGGGGGGTGGGGGGGGGGGGTCATTTAACATAAAAGAATTGAGAACCATTGCTTTAGACTAACCAGGGCTTTCCATCAGACGTGCCAGTAGGACATAACGCATTAGATGCGTTTCCCCCGAGAGCTTAGTGGTGCATCCCTTTCTGCCGGGAGCTCTTCAGACACGAGTTGGCAGCAAAATCGTTCCACACAGCAGGTCTCTCGAGGTTACGAAATCACAGGAGAATTGTAACATCAGGTGTGATTTTGCCAGTTCACGTGATAACAGGCATGGAGAATACTGATGTGATGTTCACAAACGAATCAAATGTTTTGGGCGGGCTTTCAAAGTGAACGATTACAGCCGAGTCCTTTTACAGAACCGTTTGTCTTGTCTTCAAGTAGTCCCCCCACCCCCTGCACTGTCACTGACTTTGGCGGAGTGCAAACCAACCCCCCCCCCCCACGCCGAGATCTTTCACAGAAATTGGAGGGACACCTTTCCTCGAGCATGCAAAGAGCAGGTGCACGAATTGTTGTGGAATTACACTAATTCAAAGTACGAATACAAAAGTGGGTCGGCGTTCGGTGTTAAGGCGGTATTTTTGTGCGAAAAACATCCTGGCAGCCTGCCCTGGTAAAATAATACAGAGGCAATTCTGCATGTAAGTCCACTGTTAAAGCTGTCATATTGAATCTGGAAAGGTTTTGAAATACAAACATTCACCTCTTCCCTCTATCTTCCCTAAGACCGGAAACCCATGATGCTGGAGGAAACGAGAGTGCTAAACACCAGTCGCCTTTTTCTAGGTCCAAACGTCTTTGTTGTTCAGTACTTCAAATGGTGGTTTTCTTTTTGGGACTCTGGTAGTTAGTCCTAAAGTTGAAGTGGTAGCAGCCGGCTGTTTCTCCTTCTCACACCAGTGGTTCTGTTGCTAAGTACATGAGAACGTTATGAATGGAGGACCCAGGGAAGTGCAGTGGTTTGTTGAGGCTGACAACTGGATGATCCAATTGTTGCATCTGGTCTGAAACGTGTTATTGGCAGAGATTTTTTTTAAATGGGGAAGAACCACTTTATGAATGTTTTTGTTTTTTATCTGCAAAATATATCTATAGCTATGCTATGTTAGAATGTTGTTAAGAGGCATGAAAAACAGTTTTAGAATAATTAGTTTACCAAATTTGCTCTAGCAGCCTTAATGGACACATTTGAAAACAGTTGTCTCCTTTAGCGTCACAGCTTTTTGGGTTTTGTAGGTATGATGTCATTTTTTGGCATGTTTGTAAAAGTTACTGTACTTTATGAATATTGTGCTGAAGCATGATTTTAGGAAAATTGTGAATCAAATAGAAATCACAGTTCCTGTTACGATTAGATCACTTCCTAAAACCGTCCAGCTCTACTTCAGACCAGGCTTATTTATCATTGCTTCAAGTGACTCCCATCTGCTTCCATCCAACGGTAAGGACAGTCTTCCTCCCTCACAACCTGATTTTTTTCCCCTGATTAGTCCCAGCAGACACAACTTACCAAGTATTCCCTCCAGGTATTTTGTGCCATAAGAACTTTACAGAGAATGTTTTCCACCTCATTAGCGCACTAACAGTACAAACTTTTATAGCATGAAGAACAGATCGAACCATCAGAGGTGAGGCCTGCAAAACGACACAGTTGAAACCATCTGGTGGCCTAGACTTAGAAAAGAAGTATATATCTTTTAAAGTGACTTTCTATAAATATGTTATTAGCATTTAATTATTAACAATCTCAGTAAAAAACCTCAGTCTGAAGAAATAGAGATTATTTCCGATCAGCTAAAACCCAGGGCCAGTTACAAAGTGGATTTTTGTCACTCAAAAACAATTAGGATCTAAAAAATGGAACGTTATTTCATGCACAAGCTATTTTATACATGTTTATCTCATTGTCAATTTTTGCATCATGTAGTTCTCTCTGGCTAATGATTAAAAATCCCATTAAACACATGTTTGCAGTACAGTAAATGTTTGTAAAGTATTAATTTTCAATAACATTTCAGCAGACACCCAGTTTCGAAGATCTCAACTGCCAATTTAATATCTTTAATGTTTTAATACCGATGTAGCTCATCATGAACATTTCATGATGACAGTAAATTCCATCAAGACGGATCTCTTCCTTTCAGACTGTACTAGATATTACTGAAAGTTGTTAACATGCCCGGTACAGCGGATTTGGACTTTTTTATTCCCACATTCCTCACATAAAATCTCTGTTTATTTATAGTTTTTACATTCAAAGCAAAGAAAATCTGATCAGATATTATTTATTCATATTTTTGTATTCAACCTTAGAATAAAATAAAATATTTAAAGAGTCGTGGCACAATAGTAATCCATGTGGAAAGGCTACTCATTATTGCGTTTGCATATCTATTACTGAATTTCTTAAAAATACATCACACTTTAGCTTGATTTCAATTCTGACTTTATAACAAAACACTGTCTTTATTAATATCTATATTAATTACATGCGTCAACATTTTTATATCTTAACAATGTTAAACATCGTTATGTTAATGATACAAAGATTTTAAAATGTGAAACACTTAAAACATTTTGTAATTTTTACTTCTTATTACAATCGGTCACTCTGAGTTTTTCACAGGCTCAACATGAACATTTACAGTGAAACACTGGGATTTAAAAAGCCAGACAGGTCTACATCACACTGTGTCACTCAACGTTCATGGACTCACCCATCTTGGCTCACGACGGGGAAGGCGTTGGCTCAGCGTCCAGGAATCAGCAGAGAACGTCTCTGTTAGCATTAGCAACTTCACCACACAGCAGAGCACCTCCAGGCTTGTGTTATTTGTGGAGATAAAACATCCAACGTTGCAAAGCAGAGTCAGTGGTAGAGTCGCGTTGCAGTAATCCAATCCAAGGCGAAATGTCCAAATATCAGGAAGTAAGACTCCAAATCCTTAAGCTCAGCTGTGATTTGGCTCACTTCTAGTTCCTGGAAAGGGTGCACCGGTGTTACAAGACATTCTTTCCTACTAGAGACCACTGCAAAAGATTAAATGAGTGTTCCACACCTTTAAAGGTTTGTATATTTTATTTATTAATAAACTAATGATGTGTGTTCTACTAGCCTCCCAAGATATGATAGTTTTTCTAAATAATAGTAATTTAGAGCATTTTGAAGAAACTCTGATGACCGTTAGAGGTA